GCCCCGGCGCTGCCCTCCTGGTGGTGCACGATGGCCGCACCGGCCCGCGGGTAGGCGCTGCGGTCCGCGGTCAGCTGGCAGTCGGTCGCGCCGGGCCGCATCTCGGAGCAGCGGGACAGAGCCACGGGGGTGTTGAAGGGCCATGTCCACAGCAGGATCAGCAGGGGCTGGGGGGCGGCGGCGGCGGAGGGCCCCGACCTGGGGGACCCGGTGGGGCTGTCCCGGCGCACGCGCAGGTAGGAGAAGCAGCACAGGGCCAGGAGCAGCTGCAGAAGCAGCCCGATGGCGTAGTGGTGCCAGGGCCGCTCCCGGCTGAGCCCGTCCATGGGCGGGAGGAGCTGGGGAGAGGAGACGTCACCCGTGAGTCACCACGGGGAACTTCGTGAGTCCGACCAGAACTGCCATGATTCCCATTGTGCAGACGGAAAACAGACCCAGTGACTCACGGCAAGGAAACACCGTGGAGGGCGGGCTGTTGGCGGGGAGGTCAGCTGGTGGCAGGGGGTGAAGGCGGCCGACCATGCAGTTCGAGTCCCAAACCCAGGGGCATGAGCAGCACACCAGACCCGTGTGTGACATGCCCACCATCCTGAGAGGAGGACATGGGGGGGAAGGGGTTATGGAGGCCCTTCCGAGGACAGAGGAGGCCCTCAGCAGTGACCTCGGGAAGGCCAGTCATGGGGAGGACCACGGGTCCACGGGTGAGAGCCAGGGCTGAGACCCCAGCAAGTTGAACTCAAGACTTTTTTCCCTAGAAAAGGGTTGAAAAGTACCATTGAAGGGACCAGCAGTTGGCGTAATGGCTATGTCTCTGGACTCCCATGTAGTCGTGGTTCAAGTCCCGGACCTGGTGGCTTAAACTCACACCGGGTGCATGTGCGTGCGAGGCCAAGATCCCGAGAGGAGAACGGAGGAGAAGGGATTGCAGCGTGGCCGTCCCCCTGGGGGGTGATTTCTTACTCTGTCTCTCTGTCTCTGTCTCTCCAGTGAGTGCATGTCCCCTATAGCAAAAATCTCTCAAATATTCCACATCTGGGCTGGCCGTGTGGTGTGGCCTAGCAGTTAGGGGAGCCACATCCCACACGGCCCAACGCACGCTTGCAAACCTCCCTGGTGACGTGCAAAACGCCCCCGGTGCACGTGCGTGCACACCCCAGCCCCAGGGACACAGGAGGAGGCAGGGTGGCAGCACGACCACACCCCATGGGGCGCCTTCTTCCTCGCCTCCTCCCTTTTTCTCTGCTTCTCTGTCTCTCTCTGGCAAGCACGCATCGTGCCCCCCGGCAAATTAGGAGACAAAACTAAACACAGCAAAAACCCCTGCATCCGACGGGGCTGGCAGGTGACGTGGTGGTTGAGGCTCCGGACTCCCATGTGGTCGGCAGTGGTTCGAGTCCTGCACCTGGCAGCTTGCTTTCTCACTTTCCATCTCTCCCTCTGTGTCTCTCTCTGGTCAAATAAATAATAATAAATACAATACTTTTTTAAAAAAGTGCCTCCGAGGTCCCTTTCCACACCAGGTAAAGACAATGAGGTCCTTAATTTGGGAAGAATGAGTGAAGCCCCGGGCAGGGTGGAGTCAGGGGGCAGCGGGCTTCGTTTTTAGTTTTATTTTTGGAGGGGTGTTTGCCCACAGACACATGCACTGGCCAGAGACAGAGAGGGAAAGTGAGAAGGCACTCCTTCCTGGGGGGAACAGCCAACCTTCAATCCCTTCCCCATTCTCTGGGGGTGTGGGGCACACCCACGTGCTCAGCATGGTTTTCAAGCCTCCAGGTCCGGCATGCGAACTGCAGTCAGCCGAACGGGGGTCCCACACCTTAACCGCCATGCCACCTGCTGGCCCGCGAGACAGCGTCTTTCTTTCTGTCTTTCTTAATTTATTTATTTTTTTCTTTTTTAATCTGACTTGTGCTTGAATTCTTTCCCAGGACAGAGTCAAGAATTAGCCCAGAACTTTGCCAGGGAGAGAGAGCGCCAAACCCCCAGGGCCTCCTGGTTGGGCAGAGCAACCAGGACTTCCATGCCCCGACCCACCAGGGCCACCCAGTGCGCAGGGGAGCCATCCCACAAGCCAGGACATTCCATGCCTGTCCCATGCCCAGCCCGGCTGCAACTTGAGCCACACAAACAGAGTGGGGGCAGGGAGGAGAGGATGTGGCCAGGGGCCTTACTTACCTGGTGGGGGCTGCGAGCCCACCTGGACCTGGAGCCCGAGGCACGCTGGCGCCCCAGGAGAGGGGGAGGCGTGGCCAGAAGAGAAGGCTGTCCCTGTTGCGCGTCCTGCTCAGTCTGGCCCGCACCTGTCGTCAGGTGTCCGACCCCATCACTTAGGAGCAAGTCTTGGGACTCCCCGGATCGTCACTATAAAGCCCAACAGGAGCGGGGCTGGAAGTTAGGAGCGGGTCCCCATCCTGACCCAACCCGAGGTCGTTTTTATTTTAATACTTTTTTTATTAAACTTTAATTGGTTAATTAATTTTAGGGACCAGTAGTTAGCGTAATGGCTATGTCGCTGGACTCCCATGTAGTTGACCACAGTTTGAGTCCTGGACCTGGTGGCTTAAACTCACGCCGGGCGCGTGTGCGTGTGTGCCCAAAATTTTAATTTGGCCAGTGACAAAGAGAGAGAAAGAGGGAAAGTGAGAGAGCAAGCTGCCAGGTCTGGGACTCAAACCAGGGTCAGCCATGTGTGAGTCCAGCTCCTTTAACCACCACGCCACCTGTTGGCCCCAGTGACCCGTGGTCTTGAGGCTTAGGTGGCTTTGGACACACAGAGGACCCATCCAGGACAAAGAAACGGTGGAACCCTACCACCGCTGCTTCTCAAAGTGGGTTCCATGGGGCACACTGAGGGTTTCCGTGGGAGGGGGCAGGTAAATAGCACTTACAGCTTCCGCCGTCACCCCCTCCTCCTTCAGTCAGCCAACCCACCGACCAACGACTGCTGGAGCGTCTGAGGCCACCAACCCCGGAGACTCCCGGACCAGCGTGGGCGGCCGACAGAAGTTTGCACTCTTGCAGGTGAAGCCGGGTTGTCATTGGCGGTCACTGAGGAGGGTGGGACACGTCTGGGCTTCCGGGTGGTTCGAGCTGTGAGCTGGAGCCCGGGGAGAGAGTGTCCGTGGGGAGGA